AGAGCTTTGCTCCCCCCACGCAGGGAAAGGCTGAACCACAGCAGCACTGCACGCCGGTTGTTCTGTGGGTCCGTGGCTGTTCAGAGAGCACCCCCGAGCTCCCCCCATCACACTTCCCATGCCCACGGCTGCAAAAGCAGATCCTGATTCCACCATCACCACCCCCTCAGCAGCACCCGGCTCTGGGCAGCAGCTCAGGGCTCCTTGGCTGGAGGATGCTGTTTCCCAGTTCCGTGGTACCATGAAGGAGCTGAGTCATTTGTTGCATTTTTCCCAAGTGAGGGCAATAGCTACGCCCCTCCGCTCTCACATAACCACAGCCTGAAGCACAACACTCACTGGGGCCTCCAAAAGTGACTCATTCCCCTTCCCCAGCCTGTTGGCGTCAGGGCATGACCCCGGCCCGACGCTGCCGCTCTGAGCTCATGCCTTGGCCCAGCACCGTGGAAGGGAGTTACCCGAGTCACTTCCCAAACACACGCTGTTTCACTTCTCGGCTCCTTTTCTCTTCCTCTCCGTTTTTGGAATTCGTGCCCACTCTCGGTATGTTACAAACACCTCTGCAAAAGCTGGAGCAGCCAAAGAAAAACAAAGGAAACCCCCGTGTTCCAGCTCCCCCCCACCTCTCCTGGCGCGGGTTGCCAACAGCTCCTCACCCTTGTTTTTCACCTCTCAGCTTCTCCTCCTCCCCAGTGCAGCCCCTCAGGTAACCTCTTCACCACCCCCCGCCCCCAAACCAGCATTTTTCCTACTGACCAGGGAGTTTAAACCCAGTTTGGCTGAACTTGCCGCAGCCCTGCACCTCTGCAGCAGGTCAGTGCTTGCTGCAATGCCCCCCCCCCATCTCCTCCATCTGACCCAATCCCCCCAACCATCACCTTTCTCCCGTGCTGAACCTCCAAACAAGCTGAAACCCCAGGCATCCCCCAGCTCTCCCAACACCCCAAATCCCACCCGATCCCCCAAACCATCACGTTTCTCCCGTGCTGAACCTCCAGAAAGGCTGAAACCTTGGGCACTGCCCAGCTCTCTCAGCACCCCAAATCCCACCCTGACCCTCTCGTGCCCAGCTGAGACAGATGCTGACACTAAAAGCCTCATGTTCTTCCCCGGCACAGTGGCCTGAGCCCCCCGATGTGACAAAACCAAGACCCGGAGTGGCCAGCCCGGGGTTTCCGTGTTGGCAGCACCGTCCTGCTCCCGGCCTGTGGGAAGGACCGAGGTGAGGGCAGGACCTGGCAGCTGCCCTGACAGGCGGAGTTTGCAGCCCCAGCGCGTCTCTCCTCGTGTCTTCCTGGTTTCAGGGGGTTTTTGCCTGCCCCGACCGCCCTGTGACATGCCTGAGCACACGGCTGCCTCGAGGCTCCGGCTCTCCGGGCTGTGCTTCGTCCTCCAAATCCTCACCATCCTCCTCTTTGCCGTCTTTGTCCGGTACAGCCCAGAGAGCAGCCTTGGCCTCTGCTCCCAGAAGCTGAACTGCAGCTGGAGAAGCCAGGACTTGGGTTTTCAGCACCCCCGTGAGTACCCGAACCCCGGGGGGGTGCAAGGAGTGGCTCTACCTGGTCCCCAGGTGCTGCCGAGGGGGTGGCACGGGATGTCACCGTGCTTGGTCCAGGCAGTCCAGTCACACCATCCTGCTCCAGATTGGACTCCAGAGTAAAACATCAAGCTGTGGGGTTGGGGTACCGGTGTACCCCACCGAGGAGGGGCTGGAGGGTGGAAAGCAGACGTGCTGCAAGGATTTCCCATGTGCTTGGACAAAGCCAGGCCCTAAACAGGGATATTTAGGTCTAGAACATGGCTTTTGGCAGCTGGAGAGCAGAGGGAATCACTTGGCTCTGGGATTGGCCTCCCATCCTCAGGGGGGAGCACGGCAGCCGCTCCTGGCGCTTTGGGGTCTGCAAAACTTCCCACTGACCCGCTGCAGCGCCAAGGGATTCACTCCGAGCCCTTTTCATGGTGGATTCATCTCCCTCGGTGCTGCCACAGCATCCGACGTGGGGCTGAGGGGCTGCCCCACCGGGAACATCCTCCTGCGTGTCGGGCATGGCTGTGAAACTCAGCCTGGGCTGGGGGGTGAGGGGCTGACCCCGGCTTTTCTGAGACAAGAGTGATTGCAAAGGAGCCTCTGGAGCGCCGTGGCAGAGGGAGGGGAGCTGAGCAGGCAGCAGGCAGGTTCTCCCGGTTTCGCTTGCCCACGTAACCCCACCCAGCGCAGGCAGTGACTCAGGGGAAGGACAGGCAGCGCTCTCAGCACAGCCCAGGGGTGCCCAGGGTGTTTAGCTCAAGAAAGAATCAGGTCTCCCTTCCTCTGGTTTGCCAGCAATCGGTACCAAACTGGTCCCATTTTGTCCACCCTTCTGGTCCTCTTGTCCTGCGAAGTGGGACGGGATGTTTTCAGGGGCAGCAGAGGGGTCCTGGGGGGTGGCTGATGTCTCAGACCCACCTTCACGCTGGTGTAATGAGTGTGGACGGCTCTCAGCCACCCCAAGAGGTTTCTGGGCTGCGGGGTGAACCTCGTGCACATACCGAGGTGTCGGCACAGGGCGGTTGCGAATGGGGGGGCCAGGAGTCACTGCGAGGGGTGGCGGGGGCCACGTCAGGTGGGGATGGCTTCACCTGTCGCGAGCACAAGCACCAACCGCTCCTGCTCTCCGTTGGAGATCTCCAAGGGCGATCCAAGGCCAGACCCACCACGGTTCCAGAAACACGGAGGCAGGAGAAAGGCTGATTTATATCCCTGAAGCCTTCAGCTCCCTGAAACCCGTTAGAGCAGGGGGCGTCTGAGCCCCTGGGGGGACCAGCAGGCAAGAGGGTGGCTGCCTGCCCTCGACACCTCCAGACCCGTCCTTCTGCCTCTCCTCTGCCAGGTTTCCGGGATGTCCATCTCCAATCTCTGCTCGGCTTCGGGCTCTTGGTGGCCTTCCTCAGCCGCTACGGGCCGGGCAGTGTGGCCATCAGCATCCTCGTCGTGGCCTTCGCCATCCAGTGGGCCGTACTGATCCAGGGGTTTTTATACTTCTTCCTGAATGGCAAAATTTACGTGGGAGCTCAGAGGTAAGGCAGGAGGGAGCTGCTGCTGCCTGGCTGCCGCCGTCCCAGGTCCAGCCCTGGCACACTGGCTCCCTCCTCTGTAAAACTCACAGCTCTGCTTTGGAGGAGGACTGTGAGGACAAGTAGGACCAGGCTTCTGGGTTATTTGAGTTCCGCACTAGGCAGGGCCATGTAAGTACCGCCAACGTTACAGCCAGGCATTTAGGGGGGCTCGCTGGCCCCCGCCTGCCTCAAGCCCAGCTGTCCCCTCGTCACCAACACCTCAAGGCTCGGGCTGTCCCGCTCAGCTTGCAGGAGCACTGGGATGCAGGGGCTGGGCTGTAGGTTCAGCTCTTGTCCCCCCCCTCCCAAGCCCTGTGCTCCCCAGCTCCCGCGCTCGCCCCCCCTGGCAGTGCAGGGTCCAGCCCCACGCCCTCCCTCTCCTTCCCAGCATGGTCAGCGCTGACTTCTGCGCCGCAGCCATTCTGATCGCCACCGGCGCCCTTGTGGGCAGGGTAAACCCCGTCCAGATGCTGCTGCTCACCCTGCTGGGGGTCACCCTCTTCACCCTCAACGAATACGTCCTGCTCAGTCTCATGGGGGTGAGTCACGGACTG